GTCTTGCATGACAGTGAACAGATTGAGGTGGGAGGCGTAACTGGGTCTTTGGAACCTTCTTGCAATACTTTCTAGTTGAATTTTAGGCATTTACGTAGCACAGAGTAAGTCCTGATTGATTGAATTACGAGCCTAGATTTGCATCAATAGCTCTTCAGTTACCTAAGCCAAAGAACGATGAACGCCACTTCATAGTGTCCTTCAAATGTACTGCGCGTGCGAGAGTAATCGGACTTAAAACTTAAAAATAAATTTAAAAACTCACAGCCTCTCCAATAGGTACTAGTTTCATATAAAGCTTTGTAGTCCGTGTACTAATCAGGATATAATTTATAAGTCATCATGTGTATGACGTTTCCAACCGCGAGGTGAGCAACTACGTAAATTAATTGCAACAAGAGTTTACATAAGGAATTAGTTCCAACACAAGGAATCAGTTCCAGTTTCACGGTAGTGACTTAAACATCAACATGGCTACCATGCCAAGTGTTCTGGAAACCAGTATGGTCTTTGTGACTCCATGTAATCATGACATTTTCAAGAGAGATCGTAAGGTCCGTTTAGAGTTCTCCCTGAAGTCTTTGCTACTAAAGAAATAAATCACAGGGTTTACTGCGGAGTTTGTCATTCCAAGCGTGACTGCCCATATATAGAAAGAATTCACTTTCTGTTCAGGGTCACTCACGAGAACATACCCGTATGGAACCCAGCTGAGAGTGAATACACCAATCACAACACCGACTGTCCTGGCCGCACGTTTTTCGGATTCCTGCCGTTTTTTCACCATTGCGTTTCTCTTCATGAAAACACGATCTTTACTGAGGGGAGTCGGAGTCGCACGCCGTTTGTTTTCGTTTTCGTGCGGCCGTATAATTGATGACACGCGATTAGACACTTTGAAATGAGCCCTTGCTCGCAGCAGAAGTATTCCATAACTGGTCAATATAACCCCGTAACAACCTGCCAGTCCTATAAGGATTAATATCGAGGACAGCCTAGTGCTCCTTCCTGCAACGTGACCAGTGATTCCTAAGACGCAAGGAATTCCCCATATTACAGATAGAATGGCAAACATCTTTTTCCTTGTTAACTTCTGTCTTTCGCTCAACGGCCAGGAGATGGCTAACAAGCGTTCAACACTCATGAAAGCGAGGTTCATAAGGGAAGCGCCGCACGTTATATATGCTGCTAAACGAAACGCGTCTCGAATGATTGCTTGACAGACTCCTGTCATACGGCTCAGCGTTAGAATGGCTTCCATGGGTTGGACTACAAGATTAACGAGAAGATCAGCAACAGAGAGGCTGCAAATAAAATAGCACCATGTTTTGTGGAGTCGAGGGCTAAAATACACTGTAACACATACCAAGATGTTGCCAAGACCTCCAAACAAGGCGGAGAGAACATTTACACTGAACGTAAAAATTCCTTCCAGTTCGCGTATTGCGCAACTTGAGTTGAACATTGCTACTGGAATTCAATTTTGTTCAAAAGTCTCTGACAATTGCTCTGTGTATAATCAAGGCTTTTTTTTAACTTCAAGTTATCATGTCAGCACATTTGTGAAGATGTTCTTGACTCGAAAAGGACCCAACAACTAGCAATGTATACTGCATTTCATCGTAATATAAAACAAAAAATGTTGTTCACATTTAGCAAGCCTGTGAACTAACAAATAAATGCACACAAAAATATATGAAATGTCAGAATGGTAGAGGGTTATTGGTTTATGGAAATTTCGTTAAGAGGATTTCAATTGTCATTTCAAATAATTCCCGAGCTTGATAATGAAGGCACTTTTTAAATGTTAGATTGCACGCACAGGTAGACAAATTCTCTCAGGATTCACATAAAATTAACACAGACTTTTCATTTTATCATTTGAGAAACATGAATTTCACAACGATCGAATTTAAAATTTATAAACTCATAAAAATTCAAGATGTTAAAAAAGAGACGGATTTAGTTTCTTTGTAAACGTTAATCTTTTAAGAAGCAAATATTACTGCTTCAAGAAAGACACATGTTTGTTTTAGTTAATCGTCAGTAGCAAATTGAAGATTGTTTTAATGGTAGAAATGCGATTCTGTCAAATTGTCTTATGATTCATGCATAATTTTTATCTCGATCATTATTCGCTTTGCAATTAACTCAAATTTTCATTTGGAACTAACCCAAGAACAGGCTCTTACGATATTCGTATTATAATAAGCAAATATTTTTTAGCGGCAGTTATAAAAGAATAATTCTTGGTTTCATTTCCTAAAAGCAATTTTTAATATTTAAAATATTTTGATGTTTACATTAATGCTCTAAATATAACTCACCGCCCTTTAGCCCAATTAACAAGAAACTACAAAAACTAAAAAATCATAAGGCTTAAGTGTTGTTAGTTCAATTATTTAGATATGAAACAGTCTGTGAATCCTTTTTATGGTCTAAAAAATATTTTATCAAATACTCTGGTTAAATCGCTCGAAATACAATGTTTGTACCGAAACGAAAACCAATAGTTGTTGTCAAATTGACTGAACATTTGAATTCGTCAAAGTCATTTACATTTCAAGATAAATTTTTAGTGCATTCAAGTCGCTAAGCGCTAATTGTGGTGACAGGGAGGGGGTGGGGGGAGCAGTGGAGAAGGAATTCTCTTATGTAACCTACCTTAATAGCCAACGTGACGTCATGATTGAATATTACACTAAATGTAACCCGGACATTTGATATTATGATGACGTCACGACCTTTACATTTACTCAGATTAATAATTCAACGAAAGAATATTTCAAAGGAGAGATGCAGGACCAATTTGAAATTATAGAGCTGGCCAAAACCATAAATTTCGCATTAAGTCAAACAATGAAGCATGATGCTAGCGTATTCATGAAATTGGCGATTTAAATTGCTTGTATTTTATACGTCTACAAAAGTTTCTAGGAATACTGGTGATCCCAGAATACTGGTGATCCCAGAATATGGTCATTAATATTTCCTATTACTTCTCAATTCTCGTGATTAATAGCGTCGCCTTAGCTTGGCCAGAGCCCAATAGCTGTTTTTCCTAACAGCACGTATTCTCTGCTGAGACAATGCCAATGCAAAACATTTGCATTTTCATTGCTGATTGATGTGAGAAACAGAATATATACTAACGTAAATAGCTCCAATGGAAATCGAACATCAAACGAGGCGAAAAAATGAATTTGTGGACCTGAATTAAGAAAGTCTGCTTCATTTAGTTCTTTATCAGATATTGGAATTGGAATTGATTGTAATTTCCACCGACTGAAAAACTGCCAGGAAAAGATTCGCCTTTCCCAGCTTTGAATAAGATATAACTTGATAAGTTCCAGGACAAAAGAAATTTTGCAAATGTTTCGAGTTTGATCCAGTTGTCGCAGTGTGAGAACGTTGAAAAGCTCCTTCTAAACAGGTAAATTATCAGTGTTTTTCTTTAACCTAATGTACCTAAAAAATATTTGGCAAACTTTTGCAGCTAATGCCTCCATAGGTGATTCCATTTTATGATCTGGGCGTTACGCATTTGACTCAGCGAAATTGATTCTGTTTCGAATTCAGATCGCTTTCCCTGAAAACAACTGTAAACTTTTAGCTTGGTTTTTAATCTAGTACTCCGTGTTTTGCGAAAAAGAACAGCTCTCTTTTTGCTCAAACCGTCTTTTATTGAATTGATACGATATAAATATGGTCCTGTACATACAATCTTCATTTTCAGTTTAGGTTCTGAGAACATTCACGCGTAGTTAAACTCGTGCGAAAATCTAAAATTGTTTCCTATGTTATAAAGTTCATTTGCATCATTCTCATTTTCTACTAGGTCATCCCAATTTTTTTTTCGCTGAAATTTTCCTCTAAATAGCTCACGGCTGTGATCAAAACCACATTATCTAGGAAAGTTTATGCGCTTCAAACATGATATGCAAATACAATTTATGCGGCTGTTATATAACTGTTTTTTCGCACTTCCTCGAATGATATTTGTTGTGATTTCATTAACAGTGGAGATAGAGTTGTATTATTATAGTTTTATGTGTTAATTCCAGCGAAACAACAAAAAATACGCCCTTATATTTTTTACTGATGTCTATCAGTAACTTCGATGCCTTTTTGATAGCCGTAAAGCGCATTAAATATTAATATCTACAACGTTATAGATAAATGTAAATGTGATTTGAGTAAAATCCTAATGATTTAGTTCGTGTTGCTATTCTCAAAACCACTGACCCAAAAGAAGGATGCTTTTGATTTTTTGTCGAAAAGTACATCAAAATGTCAAAGCGTTTTCTCTACAGCAGTACCTCTTGCTCCTAAAATTTTCAAGACACAAGCAAATTGATTTTCCCTGATAAGGACTCTGCTAGATAAAACCCCCGTCGTTCAGCAAGTGCATGTTTCCCGCCCTTTCCTACGTTCGAAATCTGATTGGCTGATTCCTACGTCTGCATCACTTTATTTTCATTGGTCACAATCGTTGTTTACAATTTTGGTTTCACAGTAACGTACATTTTAAACCTTTCCAACATTCTTTCCAAAATAAATATTTTTTTTCTCGTATTTTTTCAGAACATAGAAATTAAATGATTAATGTCACTCGTCCTTTTACATTCTAATTGAGTTGCATTTTTTTTCCGCTATGGTAACCGTGATGCAGAGATGTTTGCCTGAAGGAAGAAATGCTTCCAGGCGAGCGAAAATGGGATAAAAATAGGCTCTAGGAATAAAAAAAGGGGATAAAAAGGATGACAAAGGATTTAAAGTGAAATTTTCTTAACTGGATTTTTATTTCATTTCATCTTTATTCAAAGGCAGTGTGATTCATTTCTGACACGATAAACGTTTAAGCTGCACGAGGAACTTAACGCCGATATCATTTGTACTATAAATGTTACTGAATTACGCGTTAAATCATAATTTTAAAAATCCCCTTAATCCTATGTTCATCTGTGAAATTTAAGGGGCAACCGACCGCCGAAAGCAAGATATATTTCAATTTATGCGTGTTGCACATTTGAAATGTTTGGGTTCACCGCTACAGGTACCGCAAGGTTTTTTAAAATCAATAATGTTAGCACGCAACAGGATACCGCGCAAACTAAGACGGTGAGATAGATTATAAAATCTATCCTATATAGAGTTTTTTTTTAAGGAAAAATCTTTTTATCAGCTAAGGTCATTAAATAGTAAAGCAAAAGGGCGAAGAGTGACAAGTTATTGAATTTAAATATTTGTGCGGTGAAAATTCTATCCAAGGGAGCTTTGTCTGTTAGCCACAAAACCTGTCAGATTAGGAAATTCAGCTTCTCATTATTTACTAAACAGTTTCTTAAGATTATGACTAATTAAGTGATGAGCATTATTCAGTGATGTGAGTGAAATGTCACTGTAAGTGTTACCATTTGCACTTTCTCTCTTACGAACTTTTTTTTCATGTTACTGCTCGCCCGTCTTAGAGAAGAATGACGCAATTAGATGTACAAGAAAATTTCTCAGCCAGCATGAAGGAACTTCGGATAAAACTGTGTAGTCGTTTAGCAAAGTGCTCACGGTAAGCTTCAGTTTTTTTAACAGTACACTTCTTTACAATAATACCAGAACAAATTAAAGGAAAAAAACGACAAAATGCAAATTAAAACTAAGGATGAAAAAAAAAAAAGTTATTTCGACTGCGAAGTAACTCTTCGATTTCGCCGCTCAGTTTTGAAGTTATTATGGTAGACATGGACATCTTCTAACCCGCCACGGATTGATTTTTATCTAAGATCGTAATTTATACAAAGAACACAAACACAGAAGTTCAAGAGTAGAAGTAATTCATCAAGTTGCCTACATTCAACAGACACCTCTTTTAAGCGGAAGTAAACACCGTCAGAACTTGAGTTTCAAATTTTAACCGATTACATTTTTCAAGATGACACAAACCACTCCGCTAAATTTTTTTCCTGAAATGGTAGATTTGAAATACAGTCAATCATTCACTGCGGGGTATAAAGTCAGTACTTTTGCGCCGTTTGATAAATCTGTCATTTAAGTGTGCAACCTGTAATATGCGAATTATAGCAAGAGTCCTGCGGAAGTCAGTTTAGCTCATTTTCACTGTACATGGGTCTCTGAAAACTTCATAAATTTCTGAACCACCTAATTCTTAACTTTCAGTGGACTGTGGATTACAACAGTTGTCGTCTCCAAAAAAGTAATCATTTATGCTTTATTTATAGACTCGGCGCTGATGTTTTTTCTAACAATGCTAGCCTATACAACTTGTTACACTAATTATTTTCTGTGTTTTAATTTTAAGTCTTATATTATTTCAGCTGATTATTGAGGTTCATGGCAGTTATAAAGAGTGCGAATGAAGTAGCCAGCAGTGCTATTTTCCTTTTGGCATTCCGTTTCCTGTGGATGGTAAATGCCGAGACAATAGCGAAGTAAAGTACTTTTTTTTGTAAATGAATCATTTTCAATTATTGTCAAAAATATTCCTTGCCATTGATAGCGCCATTCCCCATTGTCTAT